AATACTGAGTCAGACATCCAGGATGCAGGAATGAGAACAGACACTGTCAATGAGGATGTTAAGCTAGGCATCAGGAGAATTTGGGACAGCTGGAACCTACAGGAGTGGCAAGAAGGAAGGCTATTTAAATTGAAGGTGGAATCCATAGTGGTGGAAAGGCCTCTGCTATTATATCGTCTTCCTCAGTCAATGATATTTCACAAGAAGACTTCATAACTGATATGACTAAGAAAATAATTAATACAGAGATTGTTGCATACTTATTGAAACAGAGGAATGCATAAATAATACATGAAAAATATGACTGTATGATAAAAATTACTACTTTTTCATGGGATGTTAAATGCAGTTGATCATACTCTTATTTAGAGTTGATTCATCATGTAGTTTTTCCCTAATGTACACCTACATTTTCCTTTTAGAAAATCAGGAAGACTGAACCCTCATTCATTTTATTCAGGAGGAATGAACATGCACGGTTCAGCTGGCAAGTAAGGTGGTACCAAACCTTATATGTTCAACTAACACACTTTCAAAATAACAGCCTTCTGACCTAGAGATCAGAAGAAGACTAGAGCCTCCAGCATTTACTAACTCCTTATTAGGCCAGGAAACTGGGATCACTGTATATTTTTCTATCATTAAAAAAGACTTTAAAACCCCTAGAACATTATACTATGGCATTTACCTGCTTCTGCAATTACGGAAAAGAAATAAGTTAATGAATGAGGGGAAGAAATCCAATTCTTAACTGAGCTTCCCTTGTTTAACTTCTGAACCTTCAAATGTATTGTGTACAAGTGCAAGATTTCAGCCAAACAAATACAACTTGTTCTTCATCAGGAAGTTTTCTGACTTTGGACAAATTCTGTAAGCCTTGATTTCCTCAAAGCAGTTGACTTGGTCCATCCGTGAGATCCCTCACAGGTGGCAAATTATGTAGGTTCAAGATTCAAACAAGTCGCTTTTTGAAATGTTGAGGGTGAACTTCTACAACCTCAAAACTAAAAATCTGAGAGTGTTCACGTGAGGAATGCAGTCATATCAAAATGACGATAAGAACTAAGAGAGCTGGTACCCAAGAGCAATCGTTCAAGTGGGTGAAGGGAAAGCAGACGAGCAATGGTCCCCACTCAAAAGCAAAGATCATTTCCTTGGCTTTCGTAAGTGAGAACAGCTCTCTGAGGAAGAGCAGAGTAACAGGAGGTAGCCAATGCTCAAGGCAGAACAGGCACGCACTCCACCAAGGCTCTGGGAAGAGAAAGGCAATAATGACAGCAAGTGTAGCTCCAGCATCTTTCCAAGGCCTTAACTTTAACTCACTGCGCAGGGTCCATGAAATGAAGTACTCCTTGTTCTTCCCCTCCTCACTCCCCATGTTGGTATTCAGGCCTGATGAGCCAACAGAGCTGGCTTACAAGGGACTAACTTCCCTCTGTTTGGCTATTATATGTAACTGGTCCATTAATTAAAGCACCTCATCTCTTTCTGCATGACCCATTACAAAATGACAAAAGAAGAAGGTCTCAAGAAAAGAAGAAACGAGAATAAACGTTCCCTACAAATTAAAATGCTTCTTCCCTAATAATTTGAGAAAAAGCATGACTTTAAAATGAAAATTAGTTTTGGGGTGTTTTTATTTGTCTGTTTGTTTTAGGCCCTAGAGCATTCTTCCACGGATCTAGAAATCCAGTTCAAGGACTCTCCCCCAGCTAATTTTATAAGACTGTAAAGCATTTCACTGTTCTATGTAGAAACAAGCAAAGGAATTGTTTAATAAATTTCCCTAGAGAGTGAACTTGTCTGTAAATGACAGGCATATTGGCCACACTCAGTGGTGTTTGCCTACAATTCTAGCACCTGTAGAGGCAGGAAGATGGGAGCTCCACATCTTCCTTGGTTACACCGAGAGTTTGTGGCTGGCCTGGTACATGGCACTGTCTCAAATAATAAAAAATAACAATGATAGTTTAAAAAAAAAAAGAAACATAGCCAGTGGAAATAAATTTAGGGGTGAAAATAAAGACAATCTTGCCAAAGTCCATCCCTGAAACACATTAGCTTGGCAATCATCACAGAATTTAAACCCATGAAAGTTGTAAACAAAATATAGAATGCTCTTTTGTTCAAGACATGCCATGAACAAATTACCAAAATGTGTTTTCTCCTCAGGTGTCAGTTTTTCCCTCTCCCAGTGACTGATGGCTCCCAGTGTTATTACAGAAACAGATTGATCTTTTTAATGAGCCCCTTTAATAGACTCCGAAATCTCACCGTGGCTGCTCATCCATGTCAGACCATATGCACCAACCAAACACTCATGGAAACAATGAAACTCTGCTGTCAGACAGCTATGTGCTCTATAAAATCTCATACAGTAGAGCAGGATATATGAATAAATAAGCGGAGAAGAAGGAATGCATAAGCAAACAAGATGCAGGAAATATATGCAAAATCATACTGCAGAGACCCATATTTTCTTGACTCTGATAACACTCCCACAGGACACAAATGTATTTACACAACATTTTCTCATTACCCTCCCTCTTATTTGCCATCCCTCCAGCACAGAAGACACATCAGCTCGAGAAAGAAATGTTCTATTCAAAGAACCTTCACAGGAAATCTGACTACAGCCACTGTCCCTACATAATCAAGACAGGATAAGATGTGAGACTCCTAGAGGTAGTCTCCCTGACTGAATACATACGCGTGCACACAGGGAACTGTTGCGGGAGGTCCTCCTACTCCTCCAGCCTATCACCGCTGAGGTACCAGCCCATTGGGGCGTGGTTTCTCTCCCTTTAAAAAAGCGGCCACTTCCCTCTCCTCTCTCTCTTCACTTCCTGCTCAGCCGGCGACTAGACTCCTTTCCTGGTTGCGTAGAGGGCTGTTGCCTGGGACAGTGATCTGTAAGTTTTTTCCCCTTTAAATAAATACTACCCTAATAATCATAACCCCGAATTGGTGTGGCATTGTTTGTGACTTACGCCTTCAGGGAACCATCAGGAAAAGAATGCTACCTTTATATTTATCATAGATATCTAAACCTTCCCCTGTGTTACCATCCTAGCCATACATTCTCTTTCGCACAATTTAGTACTTGCCTTCACAGAAAGGTGGAATATCTTAATACCTACACGCAGTATTCATTGCCTGCAATATTAATGTGTTTGGATTGGCAAGAAGTGCACACACAAACCATGCACCCTTGAGCCACTTCACGCCTGACACAAGCCCATACTTAGACTACACAGCTCCTTTGAAAACCTAAAACTCTGAAGGCTTAAACAATTACTCAGCCCTAAATGGGACATCAATCTCACCCTTTCAAAGGCTCAGAGAGGATCACAGAAGAAGGGAGAGAAAGAATGCAAGGACAGCAAGATGGGGAAAGTGGTATGAGCTGCTGACTTCTGGACATGATATGGCTGCTGCAGCCATAAACTCACAGTAGCAGAGGCTATTTCCATAAGACTAGACCTATCAATAGAATATGGTAGGTGGGGAAGGGACTCAAAAGGCCCTACTCCTCCCTAAGAAGCTACAGGCACTTAATGAACCTAGAAGGGTCATGTCCCTTAGAAGTAGAGTCATTGGTGAGTCTCCCTCTTCAATTAAATAGTCCCTACTAATACTAACAGAAGTGACCATAATCACATTCATTTGGCCACAAATAGAAAAGAAGAGAAAATATCTAAATCTGAGAGGAGGAAGAGAAGGTAGAAGATAGCTGGTGGGGAGTATGAAGAAAGGCATACAAAATATAAATATAAGCACACATAATATAGACACATAAAATATATAAATTTTAAGTACTATATCGAGTTAGGCTTGATAGCCATGCCAATCATCTAAGGATTTGGGAGGCTGAAACACGATTATTGCAAATTCAAGTCTAGCCTGAATTACACGTTGAGACCCTTCTGCAAAACAAAGCGGAAGAGAAGGAAGCGGAGGGAGGGAGGGGGAAAAGGAGGGAGACATCTTATTTCCAGAGAATGGATTGTAGCAAAAGAACTGCTTAACTGGGTAGGTAATCACTGCAGGCAACGTAGCTTGCTTGTAATCATGCAGATTTGCAAAGCCAGTAGTGTGTTCAAGGGCAACTCCTCCAGTCAGAGGGAGAGGTCGCAGGGTAACTTCAAGGCTCCTAAGTTCCTGGGAATGCAGAACCCAATTTGTAGCAGGGGTCTGACCTCTCAAAGCAGTTTGAAGTGCAGAAGAAGAAAACTGATTAAGAAAGGGGGTAAGGAAGTACAAAAGGAGTAAGTTCTAGAATAGCTTCATTTTAAGCATCTTCATAGTTCACACTGAGCAAAATGCTGCTAAGACTTCCTATTCATGTTATGAATACCTATGACTGAAGTATTCACAAAGACAGTTTACTAAAGCCTGTGGAAGTTTCCAATGTGTGCCATAGCCAACAATTAACCTGTGGGTTTAGCCGTAAGAAGGCTCCCCTTTCTCCAGACTTGAGAACAGGGTACCTGGTGGGATAAACACTGACTGGTAAATGACTTCTTTCCAGAAGTGTTGTGCTAGCTCTGTCACACGGCTGCTCTTTTGACTCAGCTCATCTTGCGTCCCATAAATTTTCTCTTAGCTCATACAGCAATTCTTCGATCACATAGCTGCTGTTCTCTGTTCACTGACTAATGCGTGTAGGCCAGCTTTCACATCCCTCATGATGTAAGGACATCAACTTTCACAAACACGGGAGAGTAAGCATGTATGGTTGGGTTAAGTCATGCAGTAAGCGAGAGTTTCCAGGATGAGGTGTGTCTAAGCACCCTTGGCGCTACTTGGTACTTTCGTCAACCATTCATCTTTACATTTTAGTTGGAATATTGAAACCTGCGGGTTAATCTGCACAAAAACTACCCAGACTGGTCCTGTGAGAGATGGAGGCTAGCAATTTCCAAGTGACCTAAAACATGTCTTTCAACTTGGAACAGGAGGAAAGGCCACGGTTAGCCCAGGGGTCCCCTCCTTCTCACCTGTCTGGAGTTCGCCTCTTCCCGTTTTCATTCACATCGAGAAGCAGCTCTGAGGAGTCAACTGGGGAGGTGGTGCTGGCATCCAGAAGCAGCTGTTCATGCTGAGCGAGGTACTGGGCAGGGTTCTGTTTGGCTAGCCTTGCGCAGTGGAGGAGTTCACGCTGGAGCAGGGGCAGGTTGGCCTACAAGAACGTGACAGGCAGAAGATGGGATGGTCAAAGGCTGCTCCTGGTTAGTCTGTCTACTGAACCTGCTGCCTAAGCTGTGGAAAAGCATAAGCTATGTAGGCACCTCCATGTCACCCATGCTTGCCTCAGGTTCAGTATTACGAGGTTCTCAGCTCCACCCATGACCAGGAGTGAGGTGTTTGCCCCTGCCAGGCTCCTTTTCTTTACTGAGAACACTTTTAGGAGCACCTGTGACCTCTAAAAGCCCTGAAACTGTGGAAGTTCTATAAGAGGTAAGATTCACGTTTCATCCATGAGAAAATATTGATTTTTCCCAGATAAAAAAGGCTATATAAAGTACTCATAGTACAATTGAGCTTAGAGAAGTTCCCTCAGCACAACTGATTGTATTTAGGGGCTTGCTGGTCAAACAGTAAGGCCACTCTTAGGAAATCTCCTCTGTTAACTTCTAACTTCCTATGATAGGCTGAGAGATAATTCTGACACTCTCCGATGTAATAAAACAGGAGGGCAACTTTACACATGATGAGAATCAAATGAAACCAAAGACAGTATTTTATTTACTATGAGCTGTTTCAGTATTATGAATGCAGGTTGTTGCTACTCTTATTTGTTTTCTTTCTCCTTTTATTTATGGAGGATAGCAATAGAAAATGAACTGCACTCACCTGTTCCCAATAACACTTTACATTCAAAAATAAATCAATAATCTAGATGTCATCATGACTCAAGGATTTGATTTGCAGGAGCTAGGCCATGTACATAGATTAACACGACAGGTAGAAAACCATTTCTATGTATAGGACATTCTAGCTGCCTCCATCTTGGGGCCCCAGAGCCTTTGAAAAAACACCTTAGAGGGTTGCAGCAGGCACTGGAGCTGTCTACAGGCACTTCAAATCCATCTGCTGAGAACATGGATCAAGGAACAAGCTTGTTATAATACTAACGCCTATTTCTGTACCCATGGTTTTACAGATGAAGACGAATGCTACAGTCTACACACTGCAATGACAGGATAGATGCCTACATGAGCTCAGTGCTCACAACACACCCTTCGTAATGAGTAAAGACCATCATGTGCAGGAATGTAGTTCAAAATATTCATAAAGCTCCTGTTTGCCTCCTTCCTGAAGGTAGAGCTACAGTTGACCACGTCATGAAGTAACAGAACAACAGACATCTTCAAAGTCAAGGTCGAGGACATATACCTTTCCATCCCAGCTCTCAGGAGACCGAGGCCGGAAGGAAATACCTTTGAGTTCAAGGCCACTTTTGGCTACACAGTGAATTTCAGGACTGCCAGGATAACAGCGTGAGCCTCTGTCGCAAAATGAACATTTCCGCATGAAGACTTTTAAAGTTATAAGAAATCATTCTGAAGTATATGCCTAAAAATTAGATTATCCAAAAGAGGATACTACAAACTTCCCTGTAGGGATCCCAAAGACTTAAAAAAAATCAGTAAAATAATGGCAGGGTAGAAATAAAGAATGAGAGATTTGAATACACAAACACAAGCGCACACACACACACACACACACACACTATGATTCCATTAAGAGAGTACAATAGTTAAAGGATAAAAGTGAATGGAAAAGATAATGATTCTTCTTCGATTGCTCTAATACTGTCTTCCACATTCATCTTATTAAAATATAGTCACTGGACAGCACATTCCTCCTCCTCCCCAGTACACACACAGGATGCTTGCTGTAACTGCGCCCATATTCCCAAATATGGTTTATAAGTGTTCTTTTACATTTAGAGGGGGATGTGATATAGATATGAATAATTTGTATTGGTATGGATCTTAAGGTCAATTTTGTTACATGTATATGTATTTCTGCTTTTGATTAAGGTATTATGATTGTGTAGTTCATTTAAAAATGTAATGTATAATTAGGAAACATAGGTTGTTAATGGATAATCATTGATAATAGTCAAGCCTGTAGTCATGTTAGTTAGATTTTCTAGATATATAGAGATATATTTCAGTTAGATAGGCATTCTTCATATCTTTCAAAGACTACAGAATATGGCATTTAATGTTTTAATAACTTAGGGCTTTTCAGGACAATGAGACATGTCTGCTCCTGGAAGCACCAATCTACTTCAAGAAGAAGATGGGCATCGGAGAGGATCCTTATAAAGTTTGATAGCCATTTGGCCACAAAACTGTTCTTGCCTGGACTATTGCATAAACTGGACACAGAGAACCCACAGAGAGAGGACTGCTGAACTTGCCTAAAGGTGAGATGGTCTTTTGGGGTTCCTGATTCATGAGAGAGTCTGCAAGACATTCTGCAGGACACAGAGGAACTTCCTGCTTCATGGAAATGTTTGTTGGAAACTATGGGCCTGTAGGCCAAAGATGGATGCCCCAACGGTACAGAGGAACTTTGGGTGACTGTCCAGGCAGCGAGATGTCTCTGTCATTTCTAGAGTTTTGGACTTCTTGTTTGCGTAGGTAATATTATATCCTTCTGGAGTCTTTGATGGAATTGAAGAATGGTTAGTTATAGTTATAGTTATAGTTTTCCTTGGTTATGATAAAAGATAAAATAGATATAAATATTGTAACTGTAATTCTTGCTTTATAACTGTTTTGCTATATGTAATTGTACTATGTTAAAATGAAAGCCTTCTTTTTTGTTTAAACAGAAAAGGGGGAAATGATGGAGGTGGGTCATCTGTCTACCTGTTGCTTTCATTGATTAATTAATAAAGAAACTGCTTGGCCCTCTGATAGGGTAGAATTTAGATAGGCAGAGTAAACAGAACAGAATGCTGGGAGAAAGAAGCTGAGTCCGTGAGTTGCCATGATTCCCCTCTCGGACAGCCGCAGGTTAATATCTTCCCTGGTAAGCCACCTTGTGGGCTACACAGATTATTAGAAATGGGTTAGATCAATATGTAAGAGCTAGCCAATAAGAGGTTAAAACTAATGTGCCAGGCAGTGTTTAAAAGGATACAATTTCCGTGTAATTATTTCGGGGCATAAGCTAGCCATGTGAGCAGCTGCCCCACCACTCCTATTACTACAGCTCTAATACTGACTTCCACATTCATCTTATTAAAATATAGTCACTGGACAGCACATTCCTCCTCCTCCTCCTCCTCCTCCCCAGTACACACACAGGATGCTTGTTGTATTAAAGTCAAACTGGGACCACAGGTAAAGGCTCAATGGGAACATACAGGGACCTCTGAAAGTAGTCACACTCGACTGTCAGGAATGTTGGCAATGTTGAACCAAGCAGGCCAACCCAACGCTGCCGGCTAAGAGAGACAAATTCCCGAATGATAATCAGGACAATTCACTCAGGCTGGACATCTTGTGTACAGATGTCTTTTGGCAAAGCACTCCCTGGCTCCCATCCAGAAAAAGCCCCTAATATATTCAGTACAAGAGTTGACTTTAAGATACATACAAGAGTAGTTCTAGAGAAATGTTACAAAATAGGTATTTATTGGAATACACATTATTAATAACTTTTAAACCTCAGAAATAATCAAATATGAGGGAATGCTTTAAAGCAATATGGTAAATAATAAACTATAATCCATGTTTAAAATGTTCAAATGCTATTAGAAAAGATACTATATTTGTGATTGCCTTAACAGAAGAAGTTTTCTTTCAATTCCATGCTCTCTGTATTTTGATGGGTTCCTAGCCTCATGTTTAATCCCGTCTGTGCCACACAGCTCAGTGACTGAGAGGAAACACATATGCCTCCAGCTTCAAATTTAAATGTATGGATGGCACAAGACAGGAGGCTTTCACGTGGTACTCAGTTTAATTTAGCGATTCCATAAACATCTTCTTTCAATTTAAAAAATATGGTAATACAAAGCAATTTTGTTTGCTCTAATTCTGGTGCCAGATTAGGTAATTAGAATGGTGTCTAATATCCTTCCAGTAAATGCTTCTCCATAAATGCGAAATGGAACGGAGGGTCTGCGGGTTACATTAGCTTAATGAAAACAAGACTTTAATGCATATTGTTACAGCGGTGTTTGAATACACTTATTAAGGCCCGAGTTCCCACAACCATATGGTTTTTGTCATTAATGTCTCCTTTGAGAAAAAGCACTAAAATTAGAAAAAAAAAAGTTATATCTTTGATTCCAATGATCCCAACTGAATGATATGGTAACCATATGGCGTGTGGCAGTGATAGACGAGCCTGGAAGTGTCCTTGCAAGCTTTTTAAAAATTTTTGGCTGCCACCTTGACCCTGAAAAGGATTTGGGTATTTTTCCCTTCCTCTCCCTCCCCCGCCCACCATTTTTTCCTTTCTTAAAAGGAAAGAGAGAGACAGAGACAGCAAGGAACCCAGTGATATTCACACAGGAAACAGCACGTGTATGGCGACAGTTAAAGAGAAAACAACTCTTTCTCAGAAGGCCAAAGACCCTAGAAAACCAACGTGCTCAAAACAATTAAAAAAGAAAAAGGATATATAATAATGCTATAAACTATTTGAAGCAATAGACTAATTTATTATTAAATTTATTATTATTAAACTGTGAAAGAATAAAAAATATCATTAAAATTTGGGTTTCGATTTAAAAAAAATCAAATTTACGGGTTTGTTAATACTGTCTGCACAGAATATTTTCTCTTGCCCCAGGAAGAATAACAGCTGGGAAGATACCATGGAGTGCAGTTTAAGCAAATGTTCCCAGGCGTTAGGATATTTATTCAAGAACTCATGTGTCTGATTTTAAGAAGATAAAATTTCATACAGTGAACTGGTCGGCCATGGACGGGACTTTGTGTGTCCCATGCACCAAGATCTATGAGGCTGCCGTGGACAGGGAAACCGCTCTTTGGTCAAGATGTCTATCACAGTCCCCTAAATGCTGCTGTTGAAAGAGGCCTTCAAAGGAGGAGAGGACAAATGGGTCACCCCAGCAATTAGTACACTAACCCCATGGCCAGGGTAAGATGACTGAGAAGCCCTGTGCCCCAGCAATGCTCTTACCAAATCATTTACTTTTCTACCAAAGCTTCCGGATCTCTCAGTACTTATTTGTGAACTAGTTACTGGGTACATTGAATGAAAATGCCCCTTCTTTCTCTTATGAATTCTTTTTGCCTGCCTTTCTTTTTCTTTCTTCCTTTATTAAAACGCTAACAGGAGCAGGGGACTTAGGATGCTCAAAAGTGAAAACTAAAAACTATTTCTTAGCCCACACCTCAATCCACTACCCAGCCAACCAGGCCTGGGCCATGCCACTCATTCCCAGTTCCTTCACCATCAAAAACAAAGGAGGGGTGAGACCTTTTCAACCCATTAGGTTGTATTAAAGACAAAGTTACAAGTAGCAACAACAATAGCAAAGAGAAGAAAAAATCCTAAAGCGTAAAACCCTCAGCACATCTATCTCTTAAAAGAATAAGCAAACAAAAAATAGAAATCATCTCAGATTTAAAAATACATATATATTCATCAAGATGTCTAAACAATTTGCCAAGCTTTACATCTGATCTTATTTAGATGGCCTTCTTTATACATTTGGAATTCCTTCAAACAGGACCAAGAGTACATACCTACTCCATTAGTTTTTATCCAGTAAATGAAGTCAGAGAGCCCCTGAAATACTTTGACCTCCTCCTAAATAGAAATACAGTTACAGCCTAAGAACAATGCGGTCTGGAATGCTTTCCAGATCAATGAGCTGTACAGTACCTTCAAAAATGGGATGACAAAAGGTCTCAGTGGGAAGTTAGTGGCTTCTTGCAGTTTGGAATGAAATTCTTCAATTGTCAACGTAGAGTTCTGGGGAGAAAATATGAATTAAACTCACACTTTCCTCAGTAAATACCAAAAACACTGAAACCATTCAGTTACTGATATTGGTACAAGGCAGTATAATAACAGACAAAAGATGCAGAGTTTCCAATGTGCAATCTACTGACGTCATAAAGCGAAGATCATGTCCCATGGCTTACTGTGCTTCCAGCTCTAAAATCTGCAGTTATGACAAGGTGGCGAATCAAATGTCCCAGGGTCTGAGCAGGACAAGGTGGCTCACACTGCACTCCTACAATCCCCCACACAGAACACTGAGGACAAGGTGGCTCACACTGCACGCCTACAATCCCCCACACAGAACACTGAGGACAAGGTGGCTCACACTGCACGCCTACAATCCCCCACACAGAACACTGAGGACAAGGTGGCTCACACTGCACTCCTACAATCCCCCACACAGAACACTGAGGACAAGGTAGCTCACACTGCACTCCTACAATGCCCCACATAGAACACTGAGGCATGAAGAGTAAGAGTTCAAGCTCAGACCCAGCTACATTTCAAACCCTTGGGCAACCTGGACAATATCCTGAAACCTTTCCTCAAAATCTAGAAGTCTCTTCTCTAGTCACTGAACAAATAGTCACTTCTAGGCCAAGTGTGGGGTCGTGTGTCCTTAATCCCAACCCTTGAGAAGCAGAGACAGGCAGATTCTGTGAGTTCAAGGCCAGCCTGACCTACATGTGAAGCTATAGGATATAGCCAGGATTATACAGTGAGATCCTGTTCCAAAAAAAAAAAAAAGGGGGGGGGGGGAAGGGAAGAAAATAAAAGGAAAGGAAGAAAAGAAAAAAGAAAAAAGTCCCTTGTTATTGCTGTGGATTTACTTTGCAGCTCCTTGGCTTACTGACATGCTGGAAGGCCTATATATCACACAAATTAAAAAATAAAAATAAAGAGCTGGGCATGTTGCTCGCATTACTGATCCCAGCATGTGGCAGGAAGAGGCAGGTAGATCTCTGTGAGTTCAAGGCCAGCCTGTGAACAACCAGTGCTATAGAGAGACCCTATATCAAAAAAATGAAGAAGGGGAAGGAAGAAGGGAGAGGGGAAAGGGAAAGGAGGGGAAGCGAGGAAACAATAAATGTAGAGGAGGATGTAAGAAACTGACCTAGGACATCAAGTTCAGGGATGCATGTCTTCTTCTACAAAAGTCACTTTCTGTCCTGGGGACAGAGGAGCTGGCAGACTGGGAAACAGGACATTCTTCCTTTTTTAAATGCGGAAGCTATTAAATGCAGGCAGTGGTGATCCAAGGCCTGTGTTTGGTCGTGTTTTGCCCATGGTCACTCCACATAATTACAATAAGTCATCTAGGGGACGCTTGTCAGTTCCACTTCAGGCCTGGAGGGAAGGGCTACTTAATCAGGGGACCCCCTGGCTCAGTACTGGGGCCACAGCCTTCCTAAGGACTAAGGAATTGTTTGTATCAAAAACCACAATTAAGATAAAATGACTTGAAGGTAAGGAGTTAAAAGAGGACATATACTCTCATTTCCACTTTGATAATATACAGAATACAGTGGAATATGCCAGGAAAAATAATTTATTTTCAAACTAATAATTTAAATAATTCTACCTACAGTAAAGAGTTAGTTTAAGCCTGGTGGTGGTGGTGCACACCTTTAATCCCAGCACTAAGAAGACAGAGGCAGGCGGATCTCTGTGAGTTCGAGGTCAGTCTCGTCTACAGAACTAGTTCCAAGACAGCTAGGGCTGTTACACAGAGAAACCCTGTCTTGAAAAGCATACGTACATACATACATACATACATAATAGATAAAAAGAATTAGTTTAAGATTATTTAAAAAATAAAACTAAAAGGGCCCACAAGCTCTGTAATCCTAGAACTCAGGAAGTTGAGAAAGGAGGAGCAGACTCTGCAGCCCTCATATGCTACAGAACAGACTCAATTAGTCGTTACTAGACAGTACCAGGTAGGAGAGAAATGGACTACTCTTTAATGACTACAGGTTTCAGCTGAGAAAATGGAACGACTCCAGACGGCTGAGGGTGTAGGTCAGGAAAAGGACACTTGCTGAGCATGTGTGGGACCATGGTTTCCATGCCTAGTGCCCCCCAACACACACACACAAACACACACACAGAGGTATGTGTGTATGAATGAACCCCCCCCACACACATCACATATACACACACATATACACACACATACAGAGGCATGTGTGTATGAATGAACCCACACACACACATGCCTGCTCTCTCACTCACTCACCCCCTTTCTCTCTTTCTCTGTCTGCACACACAACAGCTCTGGGTCTGGAGATGCATTAGGGGTACCAACTGTACAATATGTCTGTATTTGTAATGCCAGTGAATGGTACAGTAAAAAAAATGGTAAATTTTATGTCTGTTTCGCAATGAAATCTTTAATGCACTTAGCCTTAAGAATGAAACTACAGGAAAGAAGAATGTATTACTTGTCATAAATTCTTGTTCATCTAAGCCAGTAGTAAAGTTCTTAAAGCAAGGACATTAAAATAAGCATTCAATTGGATTAAGTGACTCATTAACATAACAAACCACTCTGTTACTGTAAATAGCCCTTAACCATGCCAGGAGACTATGCTTATGAGAAGATTCTACAAACACATGTACATATTGTATAAACACACACATATATATGTCTATATACATATCCATGTAATACATAGCATATAAACACATCTATGCACACATATGCATACACACCCATGTACTTATGAGCAAGTCAGCAACTGCCTGTATCCCTATATAGTTATCAGTCCAATAGTAATATTGACTACGGTAGAGTCCATTCAAAATGCAGAACTGAAAAACCCTTTACTGTAGAATCAAATAGACTTGCTCAATACCTGAAGACATAGAAACTGCTGTGGGGCTGGGGCATCTACTTTTCCTGCCTTACCCACCCCACTCCCAAGGCACACATGGCCTCTTGTCCCAGAAAACAGACTTCTTTCTGTGCGCTTACCACCAGTCCAAGTACAAGGGTGCGAACTCTTTCTCCAATCTCAGGTGAAATGTCATTGCCAAACTGCTGCAGGGTAGTGAGAAATCGTTTCAGCTTGCTGAGTTGCCTAGCACCACAGGCTGGGGGCAGCTGTTGATTAGCCAGAGAAGAGGAAGAGGAAGAGGAAGGCCCGTTGCTAAAGCCATTGGGCGGCGAGGGGGCGCCATTCAAGGCCGTAGGTGAATGGCTCGTGCCATTCGTTACTGTCAAGGGCATAAAACCAAAAGGAGAAAAGTAAATCAGTGTACAAGGAGAAGGAATGAGGGAACTGCCACTCAGGGTCCTTGTCCTGAAATCTAGTGGTTGTGTGTTTTCAAAAATATTGGGACACTTGGCAAAATGCTTGGCCATCAGGGCATCCCCGGCCTGGGGAACTCTGTCAGCTCAGATCTCCTGCTCACAGTGAGGGGCAGCCTGCTGCACAGAAGCTGATAATAAATGGAGCCTGCTGCCACACGGAGCCACCCCTGCCTCCCTTGTGCACATATGCCAGCCACCTGAAACGCTTCAAACATAGCACAAACAGCTTTGGAAGTCAGGCTTTTGTCACAGGCTTACATCAATAGAACAGGACGGTTTCTCCCCAAACTGGTCCCCGAGAGAAAGTGTACATTTGGTGGGGACTAAATTTATCACGGAGCATTCTTAATCATGTTTTGTACACACAACTGACAGCTGTGTTTATAGGAAGAGGACTTTCAAGTTTTAACCTTATACCACCCAATTAGACGGCTATTTTCTTTCCCTCTTATTTCTTAACCATTTATTTAGGGGGAAATGTTAAGTTTTACATAGGAAGACAGAATGGGTTGGGATTTACTAAGGAGCTATTTTAAGGATGGGAAAGGGGACAACTCAAACTAACCCAACGCATGGATTAGTAGTTAATTTACTAAATTCCTTCCTGAACAACTTATTTGAATATCAAGATGATGGCCTTACTTGAACATATTTGAACATCAAGATGACGGTATGTAAGAATGAGCATGGAAGTGGAGGTGTGCGTGTGCTGTGGCATATTCCTGATATCCCAGCAGTTGGGAGATTAGGCAAGAGGGTAAAAAGTTCAATGTCATCTTTGACTATAATATAGCAAGTCTGAGGGCAGCATGGGCTACACAGGAGACCCTTTCTCAAAAGCAAAAGCAGAACAGAGAATTAAATGTTCTTTAATCTCAACGAGGAACAAAGTTACCTATCAACGCTAGCTCACTGGGCCTTGTCAGAGGAGACAGACACGGTCACCATGACTTTGGATAACAAACCATTGGATGACAGGTCACAACCTTCCGCCCTGTACACATTTGGAAGGCTCTTTTGAAGGGCAGCGGGGTCCTGCAGGAAGGCTTGGGACATGTATCATTAGAGACTCATGGATTTATTTTTGCCTATTAGATATTTTTCATTCATATGATTTCATGGCACATGGTCCATTAATAGTATCATGGAGAACAGATAAACACTGCTTAGCCTCACAAAGCTTTGATGTCACTTTTAACCAGAACCGTGGGACTGATTAAATCCATCCTACCGAGTACCTCCGATAGAATGGGGAAGTTAGTTGGTGGTCAGAATTTACAGTCCCTTTCTGGAATGCTGCAGGAGGAAGGACACCCCAATGACTCAACTCAGAGAACAGGACCTGAGCTGAATGCAAATGGAATAGGTTTGGATAAAAGCCCGGCAGGTTCGTGACAAAAATCATGCTGTTGAATTCAGGAAGTTTCTATAGGTAACTGTTGCACCAAGCAATGGCCTTTTTAAGGTTCAGAATGTGAGTTCTTTTTATTTTAACATTATTTCTAGCTATTTGACATAAAAGAAAGCAAGGTAGAAGTAACTAGAAATAATTATAGCATATTTTTTGTGTTCTAAGTGAAACTGAACAACCAAAATAAAGAGCTAGCTCTACATTAACATGAATTAAAAATCATAGGCCTAACCAGAGCAAGAGATCAAATGTAATATTATTCATTTGCTCAAATCGTCACAGATTATAATGTTAAAGAAATAATATAAAGGCAGGCAAATATGCACAGTTGTTCCAATTACACCTAAAACATGACCCTTTTGTTTGGGTTCAATAACCATTACCTACTGGCACACTTTCAAGGTTTTTGCACTCGATTCTGCATAAAGCATTGATACGGGATTTTATTTTTCCTTGATTGTTTTCTACGTGCAGAAAACTTTCAATTGAACCTTCAAAACTGAAAACTTCAGTTCGCAAGCTGAGTACTTACACGTGGTCGGGGTAAATGAGCTGGTTCTTGGTGCTCCTTGAGTCGTTGGGGGCGGCGGCATCGCTGGAGGGGTCAGCCGAGATTGTGTCTTCACATCCACAGGTGAGTCTGGCATTGTGGAGTGCTTCTCAGTCCGATCTGGGAATGCCACCAGAAACACGTTATTTCATCCTTTAACCACCCCACTCGCAAGCGGGGTCTATCTTTTGCAGAGGCACACAAACACAAGGAATTCAGCATCGTCTATCAGTAAAACACACTTATCTATGGAACTTTAAGGCAGAATTTTTCCCCATCCAAGTCCCACTTGAGAAGGTGTAGCACAGATGGCGGGACCTCATTTGTAACCAGGCTATATAATTACCCTATTGTTATTTCTGGCTCGGCAGATGCTACCTTCCTGGTGTTATATGTACCAGCACAACTTCACTCAGAGCCGAAGCCAACATTAGCGAGGAGCAGAAAACAGATGAGGGAGACGGACGTAATGAACCCCTCCTGACAGCTCAGGAGCAACAACTACCGAGTGTCAGTGAAGCAGTCAGGTCCCGGCAGGAACAGGCCCCTCCACAGTGCATTCCTGCAACACCTCCTACCCTGCCTCGCTTGGTTTTCTGGTCGATTAAATGAAACAAGTTATGTTTCCTGGATCTTCAGTTTTATCTGCCCTACATTAAAAACAGAGAAACGCTCTGTCCACAATGAAGTTGAGCTGTTCTTTATATAGAATGTGTGAATTTATGTCCTGCTACATGCTTGAGACCAACACTCCACTTAATAACCTTAGTATAGGAAGCCCCCAAGAAAAGCTGATAAACATCAAAAGAGGGGCCCTGGACAAACCCGAATACCCAATGGTGGCCACTTAGAAGCCCACGTTGTTCTCACGCAAGTCTACTCCCCCTCTTGCCCATGTATACTCGCTGTTTGATACAGGGTTTCACTCTACAGTCTAGGCTGGCCTGGGAACTCTGCATGTAGGCCAGCCTGGCCTCAAACCTGCATCATCCTCCTGCTTCAGGCCCCCAGGAATGGATGGCAGTGTGGACGTGGGGCTTCTAAGTGTATTTTTCCCTTGACATTTCCACCTATTTCTAATATAATTTTCAAGGCAATAGAGTTCTCGCTAAAAATGAAATGGTTTCTTGTTTTTTCTTTGGATCCAATTTTATACAAACGCATGACAGATACTTCAAAAAACGTTTTTGAAGAATTTCTACAACTTTAGACACAAAATTCTACCCTTGTATTCTTTTCAAAGTGTAAAATTACACACTATTCAGAGAAGGGTTTTTAAACTATTATGACAATTATAACAAGTAACTCTCAATTTACTTAAAAGTCAAATACTAAGAGAGCTGGTGAGATGGCTCAGTGGTTAAGGGGACTTATTGGATCCAGTTCCCAGCACCTACATGGTGGCTCACAATCATCTGTAACTCCAGTTCCAAAGGATCCAGTGCCCTTATCTGTATTCCTAGGGATTGTGCACACATGGTACACATCCATACATCAGGGACATACACACACACATACATGTAAAATTAAAATAAATGAGTATTTTAAAGTCAATTATTAAATGAAAATGTAAACCCGCAGATCACTACTTTTAAAATCCCAAGCCTAAGCACTCCGGAGGCAGAGGCAGGCAGATCTCTGAATTCCAAGTCAGCCTGTCTAGTTCCCGGATAGCTAGGGCTATTGTACAGAGAAACCCTGTCTAAAACAAACAAACAAATAAACAAACAAAAAAAGCCAAACCTAGTTCATCTATCTTCAAAGCAACATGTTAAGGCAGATTTCAAGGCACAGATTAGTAATTCCTGCAGGTGGGAGGTGAAGGCAAGGGGATCAGGAGTTCAAGGGCACCTTGAAACACCTAAGATTACAGCTCAAACAAACAAAAGCAATTTCCTACCCAAGTTGAGAGGCACGTGCCAGGAATCCCAGGACTTGAGAGGCAGAGGCAGGAGAAGTGATTGAAACTGGAGGTTGTCCTGTCCTATACAGAGGCCTAAACTCCTGAGAATTACTAAGACCCTGTCAAAAAAAAAAATCATAGGCTGTGGGGAAGCAATATAATAGAGCATTTTAAAAGTTGAACTGATGTTGATACGATATTAGGGATGATGTAATAAAATCAACATCAATGTAATAAGTGCATTTTGCCTCATAACAGAGCCAGCAGTGTCTGGCGCTGTTCCTCACTCTCTACCACTGGCTTAACCCTGAGTCACTCTAGGGCAAGAGAAGTGTCCCCAGGGAAATGTCAGGAGGGACACAAGCACAACTTGCTTGACTTTACCTTACTGTGAAAAAAAAAAAGTCTTCATACTGCTACCCCAGAGTCCTTAACAGCCAGCACCGTAATCACTTATTTTAGAAAAATAAATAAGTTAGGCAGGCTTCAAACTGCTCCCTAATAAACCCACCACACTCCACTCTCCTCAACCAACCTTGGCAAGAACAGAATGAATAGCTCTCTGCTTGTGCTGCAGCGGAGGGAAGAGGTACAGCAGCAAACACATTCTCCCTAAATAAAGGCAAATAGTCCTGTCATGCCAAGAAAGGAGGGAGAGGAAGAGGCTTGCCAGAGTCTGCTGGGAGATAACAGTGGGAACTGCTGGTCCATCTGGCTTTCATTCGGCTAACACTCACAGGGAACCAGGAGGGAAGTCAGGCCAGATACACAGACTTGGAGCATGCACGTGGTTTCACAGACAGAGAGAGGAAGAGCAGAGGGGGAAGGGGAAATTGGAGGAAGTGGGAGGAAAGCAATAGAAGTAAAGGGAAGAAACTGGGAAAGAACAGAAACAAGAAGGAAGGCCCCAAAGGGAGAGATGCCCTGGGAAGATTTGCTTACCCCTAACTGACGACCTCCTCAGCCCACCTCAGATAGCAATACCTAAACTGATATGGCTCAACTACTCCTCTGTACTTTAAAGTACTTCTACCAAGGAAAAAGGAGATACAGTATAAAGCACACAGCGAGCTTCCTCTTCAAACTTAAGATTTAGATTTATGCACAAGGCAATCTTTGTATCGCGATCTCTGTCCATTTCTGGAAAGATGACAGATCACCTCATGGCTTTAACTGGGAACGGTTGTCAACATCAGCCTTGAACCACACACTCAATTTCATCAATACTTTAGGAACAAGAACTACCAATTAATGCACGAAAGAATGCCACTAGTTCAAACAGGAATAGATTCATTCTGACCAGATATATGTGCACATGAATATATTTCGGGTTTTGACATTAGCCAAATTCCTGTGACGGTGGACTTCTCTGATCAAATGGTTCCAACCCAGAGGCCCTACAAACGACAACAAAGTGGGACCATATGGAAGCCATTCTGTTCTGCTCTACACAATCCACCCAGAGTAGAGATGGATGAAGAAACCACCGGCCAGGCCGAACCCATGCACACAGAAACATTCTGGAACACGGAGATTTAAGATAAATTCAGACAATATGTTTCAAATATGCAGAGCGCAGCTGCATTTGTTTGGAATTACTCTTTCAGTGTTTTTGAAATCTATATTCTTGAAACCCTTATAGCAACCAGCACCAGAGCAGTGACTTAACCAGAGAAGCATCTTACCCCACTTCAAATTACAGGATACGGTTAAACCAACACGAGGCGACACTGCATCGCGTGCCATTGTTTTAAGCAAATGAGGATTATATTTTCCTGGTAAATCCTTCCTGGTTTACAGTTGCTGGAGGACAATTTGTGATTCCTACTGAAAGAGTGACACAAAATGACACAGGGAGGGGAGGAGAGAAGGAGAGAGAGCGGAATGTGGGAAATAAAAGATTGAAAAAGAAAACTGTTCAGGCATGGAAGGAAGATGGGTAAAATAAACAAGAGTAGATTTGGCCTCTCTGGTAAGGACTCCCACAACTTCTAGACACGACAGTCTTCCCACTTGGCAAACCCCCAGCACATATGTACCAAAGATGGTGGAGCACGGAAAAACTTACAGTACATAAAAAGGTATTACTGATACCATTTCAAATGTCATGCACTGCCAGGGCCCTCTAGAGGCAATGTTTTCTCTTTCTGGTTTCTTTCTTTTCTTTCTTTCCTTTCTTTCTTTCTTTCTTTCTTTCTTTCTTTCTAATAGTAAAGGTAGAACATAATCTGACTTGGCGCTTGTCTCATTTACAGTTGGAAGTGTGGTTTAAAAGTATGGAAGACAGGAATTCTACACTAGCCTTGGTTATAAGCCATACTGGAGAGGATCAACGTGAAGGTGATTCTTTTGACCATTAATGGTAAGTGCCCCTCCAGAGCCTTAATTCTGCATAATAAAAATGGAAATGCTATTCCATGTTGCTCTTAGAAAAGTGAGATGGAAATAAATGAGATTATGTGTTTAAAACCCTAGCATATCCCTACACATGAAGAACACCAATACCATCCTGCACTTTTCTATATAGATCTTGCAAATCCATCAAGTCTGAGTATCTGTCAATACAGGAGATGGCTATTGCTACTCCTGGATTTTGTGGAAGATTTTTGTTTGTTTGAGGTCTTTCTTTGTCGCTTCCCTCACCTAGAATGCCCTGCCCTTATTTGCCCATTCTCACTGCCCGTGAGATCTCATATTACACTTTTCCTTAACTGCTCATGCACCACCACATGACACAGCCTTTGCTTCTCTGTCATGACTCATCCATCTGTCTCTATAAGAAAATGTGTATGTATTACCACACACACACCAACTCATGGAAACAGCAGACACTCCATGGACAACTTTCTCTTTTGAATTATCCCTTAGTCATGCATTTAATAAGCAGGTGTAGGATGGGTGTGGTGGCACATGCCTTTAATTCTAAAACTTGAGAAGCAGAGGCAGGTAGAGCTCTGTGAGTTAGGCCAGCCTGGTCTACAGAGCGAGGTCCAGGCAGCAAGAGCTACAGGAAGACCCTGTCTTAGCAAGATAAAATAAACACACATAACTTCCTGTATTGACACACATAACTTCCTGTATTGACACACATAACTTCCTGTATTGACACACATAACTTCCTGTATTAGAGACAGTTCAAAGATTCAGTTAGTGTCATGCCCGCCATCAATAGCACACAGGGATGGAGTAACAATAGTGAACAGATGATCTGGGACTT